AGGAGGCTGGTTTCACCTTCGCCATAGTGAGCATCACAAGTGCCCTGGTGCAATTTGCTGCTGCTGTTCCATCTCCTCTCCTTGGCCTGTACTGCTGCTGCTCGTTTGCTGGGATCACTGGGACCAGCTCCCTGGGTTCTGCAGTCCTGTCCCGCTTTCCTGACCCCAACTTCCCAAACTTCCATAAAGACCCATCGCATTGTAAGTGGTAACACCTCATCCTGCAAATACTAAACTTGGGCTTGAGTTTGGCCATATCCTGTGAATCTTTGGGTTTTGTGATGATTTTTGCGAGACTGCTCCAATTTGGATGTTTAAACATGAACATTGGTCATGGTGGGGAGGGTGGATTGCTGTCCGTAGTGCCGTGATGGCAGCGAGGAGGGTGAGGACAGACAGACCCCAGGTGCACTTGCACTGCATTTGTGCTTCAGTGGTGCCCCTGAAGCCATGTGCATCATTCCAGGTTTAAATCACTTCACTGAACAGTAATTTGGCTCTTTAGTTGAAACAGTATCAGGACACAAAGGGTGCAGAAGGACACATCTTTAGCACACATAGCCTGGGCCTCTGAATTTAAAGGCTGGGCAAAGTTTTATAAGAATTACACAATTTGCTTTTGATGTTACAGAAAGCAGAACCTGAAGATCTGCCTTTCTGCTCTTCCTTATGACTGTGAACACACAGAGCCGTCAAAACCCACAGGACACAGACCTGTCACCCGACTGGCAAAAGGGACGGCGAAAATAACCACCATTCAGCACATATCACCTCTGCTCCCAGTAGAGCCTTCGTCAGCAGCACAGGGAGGGTGAGGAAGGATAAGAGGTGAGGGCAGGAGCAGCGTGAGGAGGAGGAACAGGTCTTCGGGTGACCTGGAGCAGGGCACAACATCAGTGCTCAGCCCCGGCACACCTCCAGCCTGAGAGGATGCTGCTGGTTCAGACATTGGCAAGTTTTGCTGTGCCGAGGAAAAAAATCTCACCTCTGTGCATCCAATCCCTTGGTGTTTTTCTTCCCTTTAACCTTTGTTTGGAGTCAGCCTTGAATCCATGAAAATAGTGGTGTTTCCATGACAACAGCCCAGCAGTGGACTCCTCCGGGGTGTGTGGAGAACTGAAACATGGCCAGTGCTTCCTCCTGCTCCAGCATCACACCCCGTGGCTCTGCAGCCCCATCCTATCACCTCTCCCTCCTCTTGTGCTGAAGCAAACTGCTCTGAGCAGAGCTCCGTCTGCTTCGGTACCATGGGCGTTACTGGACGACGAGTGGCACTGCACAGGGGGTGGATGAGCGGGTATCAGACCGTGGTATCAGCCTGCAGGCAGGTAGAAAGACCAAGAGGGTCTGCAGTCTAAAGGACTGGACAGCTGTTGGATTTTGCAATCCTCTAAGCTTTATTAATAAAAGAGTCATCATTTTCATGCCCTCCCTGGTATTTTACAGAGGATATGAAATGATCCTTTGTTATTCACAGTCCCTGCTTTGCTCCCAATCCACAGCATTTCTCCTGCCTCCTCTCCAGGGAAGAGGCCCTGCAACTGCTGAGACCAGAAGCATCTCCAGAGGTGTTCTCTCCTCCAGCAGGGCATCGACCCTTTGCAGAATCAGGCCCCACTTGCCCAAGCCTTTTCTCCCGCAGGCAGCACAACTGGTACCTTGCCCAGAGTCCAGCTCCAACCAAGCACCCAATTCATCCATCAGCTCTTGAGGCTATTCCAAAACCCCATCCCTTCCCTGCAGCACTTGTGTCTGCCCTCAGACTGAGATTTATGAGGGTTATCCACGGATGCAGCTGCAAGGAAAAGTCCAAAAGCTTTTGTCTCAGCACCACGAGCATCACTAAAGCAGCAAACCACTCCTTGCGTACCTGATCCTCGCCGGAGGGTTACGAGCAGGACACCCAAAACAGCCAGCAGGCTCTGAAGTGGGACCTGAGGAGGCAGCGTGGATGCCTGCCAACCTGACCACGGGGTTTCATTTAACAAGCGCGGATTTAAGTGTGGAAATCAAATATGAAACAGTCATAGCCAGCATTGTCTGCATTCTTGGAGTGGCACTGAACAAGCAGAAAGAAAAGAACTGAGACGCTGGCCCAGACATGCTCCAGCTGTCTGCGACTACCTCTTCCCTCCTCCGCTGAATGTGACTATTCAGCTTGTTTTCATTTCATTACTGGATGTTATTTTTGCAACCTGGGAAAAGAATAGAAGAGGGGGGGAAAAAGTCCTTAAAATGCTTTTGAGTTTATTTTTTAAGAACTAGACCATTTCTTTCCTTTTTACCAGAGATAAAGTACACTTTAAAAAGTATGAGGCCTATGGTATTATCAGTTCAGCGTTTGTTTCTCAAATAAGGTCTTTTATCTCGAAGGCAGCAGCGTTCCCATTGCTGTGGTTATTCCCATAAGCCACACTCGTTTAGTACTGAGCAACATGCAATTAAATAGCCATACGAAATGCCCACAGGGTGAGCAACAGCTGCCTACAGGTAACCTTAAATTCCATGTGCTCACTTGCCAACTGTCTCAGCTCTGGCCATATAAACCCTCATTCTATGTGGGAGCAGGGCCATTTGCTCTGCAGTGGTGGGGAGGTAAGCAGGAGGCACTCCTTTGGTGGGCACCATGCAAATTGGGCTATTAATGAGTTGAGTAGAAGCCTGGTGCTGCAAGATGGCTATTAACAGGAGTGCTTCTCGACCCGCCACACAGTCAGCCCTCCCCTGACTTCCCTTCCCTCCTCCACCTTCCTCCCAAGAGCACAGCTGACCCATTTTTAAAGTGAAAAAATTCACATCCCAGATCTGATAATTTCTTTTCCCTCTCTTTACCCCGATTTTGCTTGATGGGGAAATGCCAGCATGTATTGCCCATCCCCCTCCGGCTGGGGACATTCCACCCTATGAAAAAGTCAAGCATTTGCAACAAAGGGCCAGGACTGTATGATAGTTTCCCACTGACCACAGTGGGAATTCTCAGTATGTGCTTGACTTCTCCAGAAAAATCTTCCCTCCGTTTTGATGCTGTTGCACTTCAGCACAGCAGCAAATTTTCAACGATGTTCCAAGGGAAAAGCAGGATTCAGAGTGTTTCTTACCATTTTATTTGTCTTCCTCCTGGAGACAAATGCATATACACTAAACCAGAAGCTCTCTTCATATCAGCTTTTGCACACCCTTGCAGTATTCCCGGCAGGAGAAGGTCAGATGCTTTAATGGGAGCTGTTGTCTCTCCAAACATTGTTTTGTAGCATCTAAAGCAGGTTCATAAGTCTAAATTTGAATTTTTTAAGCTCAAATCAAGACCTTGAAGTGCACATAAAATAAGTGCTCACTTCCTGCGGATTGTTGCTTCCTAATGAACAGCATTGACCTACAAATTCACATGAAAAAAGTTTTAATCTTATTTTTACCTTATTCCAGCCAGTTCAGTGAGGCAAAGCCCTTCCTACCTCCTCCTCCTGCATGGTCCTCCCTTGCACTGGCCTGGTCTAATCATTCACCAGCAATACTAGAGACATCACACATGGCAATCGGCTCCCCAAGGCGCTGAGTCCACCCTGCCAGGCAATCCAGGGGTCTGAATCAGTTTGAAAGCAGGTTGGAAGATGGGAAAGAAATTTTGAAATGTTTCTGGAAATTATGTTCTTTCCATTTTATGGCATTCAAATCAGATAATTTCCTTTTTTGTCCTCACTTTTTTGCCTTTTAGTAGTTTTTAATTTTTCATTTAACAAAAATTAATTCTGATACTAGAATCTAATTTCTATTAAGGACAAAAGATGATGATTTCAAGCAATGAGTTTTTTCCAAATCCAGAAACCTTAAACATATGCTCAGCATCAAACTTATGAGCAACTCCACTTACCTTAATATGTATGCTCATCGCTAAGCATGTGCTTAAGTGGTTTGTTGGCAAAAGCTGGAGTGCTTATTCCTCTCCAGATGACCCTATTTAATATTTACTGGTATTAATCTGCTCAATAACTATAAAAACCAGAAAAAAACCCACACCACATTGAATTAGCTCCACACAGAGCTTTTCCTGATAGATTTTCTAGATTACCCAGGAGGGTCAAACTCTTCCATGCTCAAGGGCTGACCCCAAAGCCACAGGAATCCGTGGAAGGGTGTTGACCAGTTACAGCAGTTTGGGGATGGGATCCTCTGTGAGCAGAAGCATCTTTGTTTTTGACATTGTCAGTAATAGGGGTAACAAAGGCTCTATGCCGACATTAAGAAAATTTGTTTCATCTATTGACATCCTGTTCGCCTCCAGCACACTTAAAGGAAGCTGTTAATTGAATGGTTGCATCAGAAAGATATAGCAGAACATGCATTGCTGAGCAACGAAGGAAATCTCCAAGCTTAATGTCAGCATTAACACCTGCACAGGACAACATTGACTACAGGGACCTTTGTACTGAGCAGAAATTTAAAGAATCTGCCCTTGACAAGGAGAAAATTTTCAAATTGAAGCAGTAGTAGCTGATACAGACTCTAGATACAGGCTTTAGTATTTACCTCCACCATGAAAGCTGTCCTCCAGCAGCAAAGCCTCTCTAGATCCTACATGTCCTTCCAGTTGGATTTGATGTAAAACAGATGGATTAATCCTCACCCCCTACTCCAGGTAAGAGGCTGCACGCGAGGTTTCATCTCATCCTGTTGTGAAGTGTTCTCAGCAGCCCTCAAGAACCAGAAAAGTGTATTTTGCTATTTAGCCTAAGCAGTGCTGTGATTTCGCTGCAATTAAATTTGACTATAGATGGTATGTGTTTTACTGAGACATCAAACTTGCATCATGCATATATGCAAAGGTAAAACTGGAAAGTAATGGTAAGACACTAAAATGAGATGCTTGACTTGAAAATCTGGGATGATATAAAGGCCTTGACTCAACAAAATACTTGAGCATGTACCTAGCAGCAGACACACAGCTGATGCTGTCGAACTCAGCCTGACACAAGTGCTGTTAACTGGTATTATGATAATCAGGATTCATTACAAGTTGGATGGGATCTGAATTACAACTGTGCTGTAAAACCATGTTTTTAACTGTGAATGCCAGTACATCACTTGAAGTGATGAAGCTATAATCTTTCCATTGCCTTCTCAGACACTGGCTTATGTTTACACCTAGAAAATACCTTAATTTACAGCAGCCAAGTAGAAAGATTATTTGTGTTGTTGCATTACTT